ACTTGACATATTAGAAGCCACATCACTTCCATCAGCTCCTAAGGCACTGTTACATAACCTCCCTGTAATGGCGATGGTTCGAAGACTTGTAGATATGTAAATATGCATGTTAACATGCATACCGCCGAGACACGATTAAAAAATATGGTTCTTCAGAGGGAGGTTCATTCTTACTATCAGAGGCCCTGTAGTATATACTGTCATTCTTCATAATGCTTGTGTTTACACTAAGAGCAGTTCCCATGTGTGCACATTTGGACTATCAACACTGCAAACTGAGCATACAAACAGTTTGAATAAAAACATAGCACCTTTTTTTTGTTAATGCAATTATATCCATATGCCTTTCCTAGCGCAGCTTTATACTGCAGATGTTCAAAATGTCTGAAGGCTCTTTTTGGAGAAGACACGAGTCACGATTCTCTTTGGTGTTTCAGCTAATCCTTTATCACTTCAGCTTTGTAAAGATAAATTTGTTTCCGCCACCACAGGCATTTGCCAATTTAATAACCAATATTATGGTTTTGAACTAATGCCATTTTCTGTTTCCCAATATGGATACGTTAAATCATTTGATGCAAAGAGAATAGATATTTCTTCATCATAGCTCAGGCGCTCTGTGAAAACAATAAGACTCCTGCTATATTGTGAATAGCGATCGTTCTAATACAATTATCATAACCACGGGCAACATAACAGTTAAGAAAACACATCAATTAACTAATATCTCATTTATTTTTTAAATTAAACAACAAGTCATTAAATTATATTCATTTCAATATGTAAAACAGAAATTTGTATATATTAAATGGACATATTAAAAATAACAACAAAAAAAATTACCATCATTTTCATAAAATGTAATAAAAATTACTATTATTCAACAAGGATGCAACATTTAATCTACATTAATGACAGTAAAGGCTTTTACATTGTTACAATTTTTTCTTATTATCAATGTTGAAAGATTTTTTTTTTATGATTCTTTGATGAATACATTTTATCACTGCCTTTCAACACCGATAAGAAGAAATGATTCTTGAGCACTAAATCAACATATGATTTCTGACTGCTGAAAAACAAGCTATTCTCTTAATAATAAATTACATGGAATACAGTATATTTTAAAATATATTTTTGATCAAATAAATGCAGCCTAGGTTAGCACAAGCGATTTTTTTGTGTCATCACACTCCAAGTGTTTGATCATGTTGAAGGGCAAACACAAATATTGACAAGTAAAGTAAACTGCCTTGTTTAGCATAATGGGGCATGACTTTGCATTTTATCAAGCATGACAAGAGGACGCTTTTGCAAAAGCGTAAATATCCAACGCACATGGCACCCTTTAACGTGAAATGAGACGCAGATATATTTGGGCAGAAGGCGCCCCCTAGTGGTCTAACCCTTACCCTACACCATACCTAAACTTAACCATAACCGAAGCGTCTCATTAGACGTTAAAGGGTGCCATGTGCGTTGGATATTTACGCTTTTGCAAAAGCGTTGTATATGGCGCTTTGGGATGAGAATGCGTTGGACAAGAATGCTATTAACGACCAGAACTAGGATTACCCTTTTTCATGAGTGCATTCAAATGGCGAGAGAAAGCCAAAAGATAGTGTGCATCAGCAGTTGAACTGTCTGTTTGATGTCTTCTCACACCGAGTGATGCGCATTAATGTTTGCATACATCACACTCACATCAGCTCTTTCTGCAGAGTGCCGCTGTCATCGCAGGAATGCTGACAAACGCCGTCTCACGTGAACAGCACAACACTCCAAGAGCCCCAGTAAAACTGAAACTAGCGCACACAAAATCTCTGGCCTTTTGAAATTGAAAACGGCAGGTCGCGTCACGCCGCTGGTGAATTCCACAAGGCTCCAGATGAATGAAAACAAGACCCAGGCATCTCAACATAGCTCTCATTTGCATTACGGGTCTGATGAGTCATTTGGAGACTCCGGATAAAGACAGGGCTGCGGGAGGAAGAGGAGGAGGGCGAAGAGCTTCCCTCGGCGGCGTGCAGTCGAGGCAAGGGTTCCCCTGCAGCAGTGTTTAGAGGTCTGGTGCCTAATCTCTGATGAAATGTCTATTATCAGAGACTCTGCGGGAGAAAGTGGAGCAGAACAGATATGATGGAGAGGCGATTAGCTTCTGCCCTGCTGCCTCCTGCTTCCCTCCAGCTCACTCAGTCATTCATTCATAATGTGCACCTCCTGTATCAGCCCGTGTCACGAGCGCAGAGAAAGTTTGCATGAAATCCAGCCGACTGGTGACAATTTAAGTGTGAGTGTCTGATAAAGCTCACACAGGCAAGAGGCTGCTAGGTGCAGTGCACAAATCTTAGATATATGACAGTAACTCGTGCGGTCGCGCTCGTGACGAATGGCTTCAGAGACGCATTGTAAACTGCATGAGGATGACAGTTTTTGTAATAATGTGGGTCATGGCGTATGGCCTTTCCCTCTGGGAGCCAAGTCCTGCTTGTCTCTTTAATGAACTCGTATAACGACTTTTAAAATATATCCTTGTAGCCTATAACATTCAAAAACTGTGGCCGGGATCCATCAAAAAAAAAAAAAAAAAAAAGAGACTGAACCATTAAAATGTAACTTTTTTTTGCCCCAGTAAAACCAATTATATATATATATATATATATATTATTACATATATATATTTTTATTATATTTATATTTTTCTTCAATAATATTTTTTTTATTATTATTTAGAATTCTTAAAGATTTTTAGGATACTTTGAATTAATTATATCATTTTTATTAGCTTTTTATTATTATTTAGAATTCTTAAAGATTTTTAGGATACTTTGCATTAATTATATAATTTTTATTAGCTATTTTTCCTCATTAGAATTAATTAAATAAATAAATAATTATATAATATATATACAATTAAATATATATAATTATTATTTATTTTCAATAAATGCAACATTTATTTGCATTTATCAATGGAACAAAGTAAGAAGATATCTAGTGGCTTTAAAAATATATAAATGTGTGAAATGTCCTGTAAGCTGCCTATAGCTTCCTATATAAATACATATAAATAAATACTTAAATACTTTTTGATTCACACTTCTAATTTATGTAAATATAATGTTGAGTTTAAACTTTTAAACTGAATTTAAACTTAAACTTTTAATATTGTTGTGGACAGATTTGAAGTCAAATATTATGATGTTAGGCTATAAGATGCTTTTATAGTCTCAGTTAAGTCCAGCCTGGTCTGTTGACTGGTTATTGAGCAATTTTGGGCACTTTTCAGCTTGGAAGACCAGGTTAAAGGGTTAGTTCACCCAAAAATGAAAATTATGTAATTAATGACTCACCCTCATGTCGTCCCAAGCCCATAAGACCTCCATTCATCTTCAGAACACAGTTTAAGATATTTTAGATTTAGTCCGAGAGCTTTCTGTCTCTCTATTGAAAACGTGTACGTTATATCGTGGATTGACAACAGAACCGGAAGACAATACAATGTTGAATAAAGTCGTAGCTTTTGTTATTTTTGGGCCAAAGTGTATTTTCGATGCTTCAAACCATTCTAACTAACCAGTTCTGTTGTCAATCCGCATTATACCGTTCATACATTTTCAATGGAGGGACGAAAGCTCTCGGACTAAATCTAAAATATCTTAAACTGTGTTCCGATGATGAACGGAGGTCTTACGGGCTTGGGACGACATGGGGGTGAGTCACTAATGACATAAATTTCATTTTTTGGGTGAACTAACCCTTTAAGAATAGGCCGGAGGACCAGTTTAAACCAGGCAGCTATAGGACCACTAATCCATTGTAGACATCTGAATTCTTGTACAATCTTACATAGAATCCAAAGCGTTTAAATTCTAGTGACATTTGTAAGTCTCCCGTGTTATGAGAGAGCGATGGGGAGAAAGCCAGCATCCACTCGCTCCAATCTGCATGATAATCAATCCAGACTCATTCAGCCAATCAGACTGAGCAAAGAGACCCAAATTACTTCATTCAATACGTGATTTAATTCAGAAACATAAATCATCACATTACTGACAGCTCTCATAGAGCCGTTGGGAAGGGGGACAGAGCGGCGAGCCGAGCGAGAGAGACTGAATTAAAACCTTCAGACCTCCTTTACCTCTCCCTGTAGACGCGGCAACATAATCTGAAGAGAATGTACATTTTTCATAAAAGAATTAATAACCGATTTTAAATTATGTCCCAGACTCGTGACCCAAGATACGTTAATTATTGATCACCCATTTCTGTGAAGAGGTGTTGTAATTACCTAGCATAATGTGACTCCTTCATCACATTTAAACATTTATATTGCTTATCTTTCCAAGGAACCCCTGGCTAAGTTTTTCCAATTACACTGATCAAATCGAGAATGTGGGGGTAATTCTTCTTTTCTTCAATTAGAACTAACTGTAGTATACATAATTTATAAAATTCCGTCATACCTTGGCGAAATGAGAGAAAGATAATGAATATCTGCTACTTACAGTGACGAGGGGCAGACAGGTTCAGGTTTGATGATGACGAGAGGGCCTCATCATTCTCCAAAGTAATGTTCTTCAAACCATGTTCAGAATATTGTCATTTATGCAAATGATGTTCCTCGGAAGAACTTTTGTGACAAATCTACGGCCATTTGTGATTTTGCTCCACTTTAACTTTGACTGCACTCTAAAATAAGGCCACATTGTGTGTCTTTTTGTAGAAATATCTGCAGTCCGGAGATGTCTCATAACCCTGAAAGTGTTGGGGATAACCTAATCAGACTGCGAGAATCCGATCTCGGTCCTTCTCTAGGCCGTGGTATAGATGACCACCTCAGACCTGGAAGCATCAATTCCTTTTAACCTCCTCAGATATGATCGCTTCCCCTTCGCCTTGAGCTCTCCGATGCAGTGAAATCAGATCAGAGGACAATCGCACTCCATCATCTGAATACGAGATCCACCCGGCACCGTGCAAAGAAAGTCCGAGACAAATTCCCGTTATCTTGAGAAACTTTATTGATGGTTATTGTTATGCAGATCATAGTGCATGCACATACAATGACAAGGAGAAAGCCTGTCCACAACACGTACTTAAAGCAGAAAGAGCAGAATCACAGCAGTGGGTAAGATATTTTTGCCAAGTTGTGTGATGTGACGCACACAGTACACAAGAGGATATTTGCAGCCGGATAAACTGAAGCTGCTCTTTTGTTTGTATTTAATGCAATTGAAACTTTTATAAATACAAAATAAAGAAAAAAATGAGATATGTGACAAACACCTCTAATTAGGTATACTTGTAAACAACATGAAGGGAAGTCTTCGCATATGCACAGCCAAGCTGCGACTCTTCAAGAACACCTCGACAGCTTGTTTGTGTAGCACTTGTAAATGACATAGTTATCATTATTCCTATTTACATATAGATATCTTTTTCACAAGTCATATATTTCTCAGTTTCTCGATAATCAAACAGTTTCAAAGTGTAAAGGCTGTGTTCTAGAAAATAATAGTACAAAGGATGTCACATTAAAAATGATATCAAAACGAAACACTCGGAAGCAGAGAACCAAAAGAAAACGGACAACGGAACGTCTCACAAGTGAGAAGTGGTGGTGATGATGAAAAAATTGCAGGTTGTGTGTGCAAAATTGTACAGTTGACAAAAATACTATGATTATATCTACATAATGATTGCATTACTTGTAAAGTGTTGATATAAATCTGTGTATGATTCCATAAAAAATGAGACACCTTTCTCTAACAGTTGGTCTACCACACTAAGTCTAAAACATTATACAGTTGTGTTTTTCGTATAAGAGAACATTTTCACTGCACAGATCAAATTTAATACACTGTTTATTTTTTTCCCACTCTCATCTTGTACAAATAATCAGTTTCTTAACTTCTGAAAAAAAAAACAAAAAAAAAAAGAAAGAAAGAAAAAAATATATATAACCGGCGCAACCGTCGCCTTCTTTTTTTTTCTTTTTCGTGTTTCGTCTCTCTCCCGTATTATAAAAGTCAGCATTTATATCAATCGACGTACTGGAAGTACTGTAATATAAAAAGAACAACTCGTGGTAGGCCTAAACTAGCGAGGGTCTGACTTAAGGACTAGATAATAGTTAAACGGTAAAAGACTGTCATGATGAATTTTTGGGGAGTTTCTACGAGCTGCTATGTATAGTCTGAATATACACATTGAACACCCCAGGAACATAACCTTTGGCTTTGAGTAATGACTGATATAAGACAGCTTAAATAATCGATACCTCAGTGGTCTCTTTGACCGGCTCTGTGTCTTCTCTGCGCTCGGGGAACTACGCCGACTTTACTGGCAGTCCCCGGCCTTTCGGTCTTCCCACCACGCAGACGCCCGTCTATCTACTGTACGCCTACCCACAACCTCCCGCGCACTCTTCCTCTACGGCACAGAACCCAGAAGCGTAAGAAACCAAAAGAAAGACGAAAGGCGATGTCAACATAAGCGTAAACCACTGGACGACTCTAGTCACTTACACTCTTACAAAATATGATAACCCCAAAGTGACTTGAATATTTATCATACATAACTCATTTACATGATAAAGCCCTAACAATTTGTGTCTTCGTATTTTTTTTCATCTTTTTAAAATCTAGCAGCTCTCTAGATCACCACAGAAACCTCTACAGCCAACAATCTATGTAATCTTTAGAAATGAAAAACCCACAATATTAAAATACACAGCACAAAATATCTGAGGTATAAGATGAAAAATATCCGTTTTTGTCTTCTCTCTCTTAAGAGATGCTAAAATGATGCACTACTGCATGTATTGCAATACCCAGGCCTCTGAATTACTCCTCCTTTACCCCCACAGGAAGATTCTCAATAGGTTTTGAAAGGTTTTCTTTTTTTTTTTTTTTTTTTTTTTTAGTATGGCGCGAAACGACTGTATCCACCTCGGTATATACTAGCCTGCAAAGAAGAAAGAACGAGACCGACATCATCGGCGTGGCTTCTGGTCTTGGCATCAGTCAAGGGAGCGAAAGCATTCTGGAAGAGAAGCCACGGGTTTGGACACGTTTAATTGACACCGCTCAGAGGGGACCTCCGCTAGCATTCAGGCTATTTACCGTACATACCCCCCAGGACACAAACCAATCACGTTCCATCATGCAGCAAGCACACCGACACACCTCATGCCAGAAGAGATGCATTTAGCTACTTAAAAACGTGAAAGGGGTAAAAGAAAACATGAGTTAACAGAGCAAATTATAAAAAAGAGCAACATATATAGAGTTTCATTCGCTGCAAAATCATTTTCTTAAAGGGTTAGTTCACCCAAAAATGAAATTTCTGTGAATAATTACTCACCCTCATCCAAACCTGTGAGACTTTTGTTCATCTTCGGAACACAAATGATGATATTTTTGATGAAATCTGAGAGCTCTCGGATCCCACCTTAAACAGCACTTTAATTACCACTTTCAAGGGCCAGAAAGGTAGTAAAGACATAGTTAAAATAGTTCATGTGACTCCAGTAGTTCAACCTTATGTTATGAAGCGTCGAGAATATTTGTATGTGCAAACAAACAAAAATTACGACTTTATTCAACAATTTCTTCTCTTCCGTGTCAGTATCTGACGCTGTTGACATTGTAAACACAGCGCAGCAGTTTCCAGCTCAGCATTGGCTGGATCCTGCATCAGTATCACACACATGCGTTGTGACGCTGCTCACGTGAGCTGAATAAAGTTGTTATTTATTTATTTATTTTGCATACAAAGTATTTGCATCGCTCATAACATTATATTTGAACCACTGGAGCCATATGTACTTTTTTAACGATATCTTTACTACCTTTCTGGGCCTTAAAAGTTGCAATGATGTTGCTGTCTGTGTTAGGGATAAGCTCATGGATTTGATCAAAATTATCTTCATTTGTGTTTCGAAGATGAACGAAGGTCTAACAGGTCTGGAACGACATGAGGGTGAACAATTAATGACAGACATTTCATTTTCTAACATTTTAACCTGTATTTTCGTCTTATCTTCAGGCAAAAATCTGTGAAAAGACAAATTACCCAAAACAAAACTGTATAATATATATCTGAGAAACATTTTTATCTGAGTAAAAAAAAAATTTTTAGGTGTGGTCACAAACAAAGTTTTAGCAGTTTTGCAGGCAAAAAAAGGAAATATTTTGGTAGTAGTGTAGATGTCAGAAGCGATATAGCCTCGTGGGAAGTACTCCAACATCGGGCGAACTGAGTTTAGCTTCCTGTCTAATCTTCACTGTACTATCCAATAAAGAGAAAAAAAACAAAACAAAACTAAAAAATAATGCTCACACAGAAGTAGGGTTGGGTATCATTTTTTTTTTCTTTCTCGATACCGGTGCCAAATCGATAATTTTAAAAAGGTACCGGTGCCTAAACGGTGCCTATATTTATATCTCTTAAAAAAGAGATATAAATATAAGTAGTCTAATAAAACACAACAAATTTACATAACAAATTCACAATAAAACCTAAGCGACCTAACCCAAATAAATTAATTGAACACTAAATAACACTACAGTAATGACAGCAATGTAGTCTGTATTCTTGGTATGCTACAAACTAGCTTTAAATTTCAGCAGTTCTTTTCACATATTTGCCTTCTCTGGACAAATACGACACCTCTCCTGACTTGCATTTCCTCCACAAGTTGACGCGAAACCCATCGCCATCATGTTTGGCACAACTGTGGCAATGAGCGCTCATCAGGATCAACTGAATGCTGGATTTTCAAAAGTATCTGAGGTCCACGGCTCTATTTTAGCAGTAAACTTGCACAGCGTTGTTGAATGACTAATTTATTAGATGTATGCCAGCATGTTATTGTATGGACATTGACTTCACATTTTTACACTAAACATGACGTGGAACAAATAACGAACTGATTGTTTGTGTAATGTCAGTCAGTCCTTGGCTGATATTTTTATTCTTAAATGCATGTAAGTAAATATGTTTTGTCATTTAAGAAACCGTTATAATGATCATGATTCATGTTAGTTGATCTATAACACACAATGAGCACCATGTTAGTACGCACCACAGTTTAGAGAATTGTATCTCTCACACACCCATATTATGATTAGACAAGATGTGATGGCATATTTGGAGGATGGAGAAACAACTAACGTTATTTACCCATGGCCTTATTTGTCCAAGTAGTTCAATCGGTATTTTTAAGAAAATGTTTTACATGCAATTTACGTTGGATGTATATTTTGTTCTTGCAATGTTGTAGGCTATTTGTTGCAATTTTGGACTTTTGACAAACAGTCTGAGATATTTGAGTGGTGTGTGTAATAAAACAACACTCTTTGAAATGATAATTGTATTGCATTGTTTTAAACACTAAATATTTTACTTAAAACATTCCTCAGATACTTATTCACTTATTTATAATATACGTTGTTCAAAAAGCAAAAGTAATTTCAATGTAGCTAGCTACTTTTTGATAGTAACTTGTAGTGTACAGTAGCTAACTACTTTTCCAAAACGGTAGCTTGACTGTAGTTTAACTACTTTAGCTTGTCAAACTACAGTTTCAGAGTAGCTTCCCCAACACTGCTTACACACAAGTCACTGGAATTCTTTCGCCTTTTTGTGAAATTCCCAATTCCGTGGGTTCCTATTCAAATGATTAGATTTCACCGGCAAAAATTTGCTGAGCAATTGTACGTGACCACACCTTTAAAGAAGTTTATTCTTAAAACAAGAAAAAAAAAACTATTTGCAAATGGTGTAAGAAAAATAAACCATTTGTATATAAAAAAACTCTGAAAACAAGAGTTATTAACTTACAAAGAAGTTATAAGCAAGTTTACTGGAAAACTAGACAAAAATACAGATTAAGAAGTTGATCTTTACCGCGTGCGTTTTGTATGAAATGTGGACATTTTGCGATCAAAAGCAGTTCACATACAAACAAGTCGCAGTGGGGACCCGGAGACTCCCGACGGTCGCACCCTTTCATCAATCCGTCTCTCCTCTACTCGCTCCCTCTTTTAGCTGTTGCTACAGCACCACTTAGGTGATGGATTTAATTATCAAAATGACTAATTATTCCATTAAGGGGAGCGCACGGCTAGGTGATATTCACAAAATTAGAAATATAATAACTAACATGCACTACACTGCCAAGAAATTAAGACATTTATCACGTTTACTGGGAGGATTAATGTGGCATTTCAGCTGCCGTTAGCACAAGAGACAAATTCAATTAAGTTTAAGTGAGGAGATGTCAGCAGTGCTAAAATCCATGCAGGAGGAAAAGGTGGGAAGAAAAGGGAAAAGAATGAGCATACATGACAAGCGTGCACAGAGAAAAGAGCAGGGATGGGATAAATAAAGGGGTAATGAGGAAAGAGAAAAAAAAGAGAGAGGAAACGAGGAGGAAGAGGCAGGTACAGAAAAAAAAAAAAAAATTCGAGCTCACCATGGCACCAACGCTGTATGTGGCTGCTGGAGCAAGTGCGTGGTTGTAGGGGTCGGCAGCATAAACTCGTCCGTAACTGTGGAAACAAAGAGACGGTCGGATTGTGCCGGCAAGTTGAAAATCGCTCCTTTTCTATGCAAAAACAAACGTCATACAGTCATATACAAGACCACGGACTGAAGTAACTACGTACTGTATGGTGAGTGCTTAGAAAATGACAATCAAATGCAGGAAGACATTACTGTTGGAAAGTTGAAGGGAAAGTTGTGCAAGACATCATCAGATGCTCTGCTCGTTCTTATTCCGTGATTACGGGATGTCAGCGCTTACGGCAATGTATCTGTTTGTACATACAAGCTTTGGCAAATCGGTATCAAGAGGAACTTGCTTGTTTTTCTAGTTCAATAAACTTGCACAATAACCCTTCAATTTTTTAGTAGTTTAATTTAGCTATTGATCAAAAAGGGCAAAAAATACACCGCAGGAGGAAAAAAAGCCAAACAGACCAGAGATCAATGTTTTATAGTACTTGCCAAAAAACCAAATCAAAACATCTGTTCATTACCCTTGATGAGAATGTTCCAGTTTAATGTGAATGTGTGGACTTTTCAAGTGTCTTTTATCCTGAGATCTCACATTGTTTCCCCTCAAAATACGAGTTAAAACAACCTGGAATATCTGCTGCTTTGAGCATTGTTATGCATGCGTGGTGTTTGGACCAACTCGAGAGACGATCAAAAGGCAGAGAATTTAGCCAATTTACATATTCCCCCACTCCTGGCGATTAAGAAGTTAATCCACTGCAAATTAGACTACAGACATTGTTATTCACTACACAGTCGCTCTGTCTTCATATTTCAATGCGCGGCCAAGTATTTTGTTTGACCTGCGTTATCTGTGTTTACAGGGGTTAGTTTTAATGAGAATGCAGTGCAGTGATCAAACCTGCATGTGCTCTTCAGGAGCTAAGATTGAAAAGGTGACCCCTAAGGATACAGCACCTGGTGAATTACTCCTAAAGAATTAGGTAAGGGGAAAACGCTGTTTGGATGCTGTGGAACTGGGGCTTTTAATGGCTTGTTTGAAGGACACTGTTGGTGTTTTTTTTGTAGCAGTGCTACACATTTTAAGCTTAAACTCGTCCTTGTGACTATCAGTTTGTTTCTTTCCAAGATTCGTCATAGTAGACTCTTCCTGCCGCCCATCGAGACAGGTTGAAGGCAAACCCCCCCATCCACCCCCTGATTTATGAGACTGGTAAGCTCTACGTTTGTTAATGAACACCAGTGACTCGAACATACAGCTAAATTAGATCTGGGCCCAGAGATACAGGTTAATAAATCTCAGATGGCTGGGATATATCTGCATTATTGACTTGATGCTCATTATTTTGGAAAATGTGTGCTCCAGCAGCGCCATTCCTCTAAATGTATTGACTTTTCCCACCAGGAGACCACACGGACAGCTCATTTCTATGATTTCTTTAAACAATGCCGGGGTGTACTTTAGGGGCTGCAATGCGAGTTGCGCTTTACCATCTGATTACGTTGGTTTGTGAACGTGTGGCCTTCGGGGTTATCAGCAATTATTGAACTGGGACAATTAGACCATAATTTGCAAGTTCTTCAGTCTCCAAATAACACATTCCAATTGTGTTTTACAGAAAACAGCTGATGTCTTCAAGAAAGTGTCGTCTGCTAAATTACAGCCTCGTTAGCATATTCATTTTCCCTGTTCGAGGCAGGGAATGAAGAAAAAGAAGAAAGGCTAGGGGAAAAAAATAGGGTTGTCACAAAATCAATGTGTGGATGGACAAGTCCATTCTCCTTTCGGTATACCGCAACTCAAACCAGTGACAATCACACTAGTGTCATTCCCAAGATCTAGCCACCTATAGCCAATGTTCAAGACACCATACACTACATGAGCAACCTTGATACCACAATGACATCACCACTAGCACCACACGCCTGTAAAATAATAACAAACAAACCAACCAAAAATAAAATCAAATAAAAAAAAAGCCCTCTCGAGTGCACACACACACACACACACATACAGATCTGGATGAGGGAGGGAAGGGCGATGGTGGAGAACTCAAAGGAACGATGGAACACAAGGAAGATTAAGAAAGGGGAAAAAAAAGGAAAATCACAGATTCCAAGCTTGTGACAAGCGTGTTCATTTCACTCTTCAAGGAACACATGCCTCTTCCAAGCAATGCCATGGGAGAGAGAAACAAGACGAGAACGATGAATGCGATGCCTTCCAGCTATCCTCATGCAGTACTCCAAAACTAATCCACTCGTCCAAAAAAGAGCATTCAAGAGAAACGTAGTGAGAAAAAAACGTAACATCTACTAATCAAAGGGGGCAGAAATAAGGAGACAGCCGGGCAATAGAAGCACTCACTGTCAGGGTGCATTAAAAATAGGGGGGATATGCTCGCTCCCTCATGGGTGCATAGAGAAAGTGAGGGTGATTTGGTATTCATTTATAGTTATTTATTTTACCTGAGGAGGTGTTACAAGAAATTTCATCTGCTGCAACGAAGACGAAATGATTTCTGCAAGAGAAGATAAAATTTACAATACCGCCTGCTGACTGGCTGGATGGACGAGAGGTGGGGGGTGTAGGGGGGGACGGGTTAAGGGATTGGAAAGGGGGTAGGGGACGGATGATGAGGGTGCGGATGGGTTTTAGTTCATAAGCAAAAACAACCAGAGCTCTCTGTGTGCGGCCCTGCAATAACGCTGCACGGGTATCAACATGGAGGAAGAGGGAAAAGCATGCTGGGGGATTAGAGATGCAAATGCGGGAGTAAAGAAGAGGGGTAAAAAAAGACATATACAGTATATCAGAGATGAGACTAAATCAAAACCTCGGACGGGGACCGATTCAATAGAAACTGCAGCTGCGCTCGAGACGCTTTTGATTTCGCCGCTCTAAACGTCCTCTGCTCTGTAGACCCCCCCTCCCTCCATCACTATTGTTCTGTAAAAGTCAAGGAACTGCATTCACAGCATTACTGAATAGCGCCGGGATGGCCTTGATCGGTCACATAAAAGACGGTCGTCGGGCCCGTTAGAAACACCTGAGACTGCGACCATTATACATGGATTATATTGGAAATCAAAGCAGTTAATATTATACATCAAAGTGCTTATGTCATACACCGTAAACTGTTCTTTGGAGTGAGACGAGAAGAGATAGAAAAGGAAAACTACCTTTGTATTCACAAAATAACTAGGCGCACTTATTATAAAGAAATAAATAGTACATTTTTAAAAATATTTGGGGTAGATATGATAAAAAAAAGAAAATCATATTTTTATATTAAGTTAATACATTAAAATGAAATAAATGAAAAAAAATATTTCTATTTTAAATAAATGCTAAAATTATAAATTTGTAAAATTGATAAAATTTCTATTCATCAAAGAATCCTGGAAAACATATAAAGATAATAAAAATATTAAGCACTATTTGCAACATTGATATCGGCAATAATCAGAAATGTTTCTTGTGCATCAGTGATGCTGAAAACTTTTAAAATGTAATAAAATAGAAAATATTATTTTAAATTGTAATAACATTTCATGAACTAATTGCAAAAAAATTGGTGAGCATAAGAGACTTCAAGAAAATTATAATTATTATTAGTCGTATTAGTCAACATAAAAGTCAAAACTGACCATATTTACTTTCTTAATGCATGTTCCTGGTCATCTTGTGAATGACTGAATGACATCTTTAATCAGAATTTAATAACATGCTCTTCTTCTGAAATGACCCCCCAGTTTAAGTCACTTAAGACCAATGTCAAATTATTTAGACAAAGTTTTTTTTAAATTATTATTATTATTATAAAATTATTAAATTGTTTTTTAACTAACGAAGCTATTGGTTCAATCGACTCCCAGTGGAAATATGCAAAAAAAAATTAAAAAAAAAAAAAAAAATTTGTAAATACACTGTCACTAAGAAATAGTTGGATTTTGGGAAGAAGATTTTATTACAAATTGCAAATCAGGATGCCTATACAATTACGTACATTAAGAACAATAAAAAATGCAATTGGTTTTGGTGACCATTCAAGACAATTCCAGTGCTATTCAATAGTGCTGTGAATGCAGTGTAATTCAATCATAAATGCCACTAGGTGCCAGTAAGTTCAATACCACTACCATACAGCCAAACGTGTGCAAAGACTAAAATTAATTAAGAAAAAATTAAATTAAGTGCACCTTTAATCTGAATTGTGAAATATTAAATTTAATCAACATTTAATGTTTACCGATTTAAGTCAGGAGTATACAGGACTACAGTAGCCTTGTTATATAAATAAAAAAAGAAAAATCTAAGGACTCAAAAAACTTAAAATGCAAACAGGATTGGGGTAAATGGTGCATTCTGGGTAAATAAACATGACTAGCATTAGCCATATTATTGGTTACATTACACAAGCTTCATGAGTCACTTCACAGGTGTGACAAATGATGTGTCATGGCTCGATCTCACGTCTAATTAGAGAAATTGGCCGCCATATTGCCGGGCCCATTTTTAATTGCCGCTTGGAGCTATGTTTAATAACTAAATGAATCATTCATTCCTGCTATGCATTCAGATTGAATCGGCCCTCTTAATCATGTTAGGGGGTTTGTTTTGAATACAATATTCTATTTGGCATGACAGTATTGACCGTCCCGATGCGCAAACACACACGCACGTAACATGCGCACTCACGCACGCACACACACACTCAAACACACAGGAGTAAAGCTCAATGCAGACATGCTTTTGAACACATGCATTAAATGGTGCACTTTCTATAATTCATAGTGCCTTACAAAATTAGATATGAATTGGCTTCAGATATGACTACTCCAATCATACACATTAAAGACTACACATGCACTTCATGAAGACGCTAAAGTCGCAAGCACTTCATATGAGCAGTAGTACACTAGACTACACTGTATAATGTTTCATCTCTTCGTATCAGCAATTAGTGGCCACTGGCACGTCCAGGCAAAATGCAGACACCTGGTCAACACACTCAGGGGTGTAAAGCACTTGAGTAATTGTACTTCATTTTCAGAAAAATAAAGTATAATTTTTGGAAATATGTACTTCACCAAAAACATTTGTAACTCTACTCAAAAAACATTTCTAATGAAAACATTATACTTTTTAGTTAACGTATGTGTAAATCTTTCCTATATTAAAACATTCCGAAGTTTGTGGTCGGTTATAAAAATGCAATAATAACAATAATAATACAAATTTAAGTAAAGTTTTCTATTTGAATATATGTGACTTATTCCAGTGATGTCAAAACTGAATCTTCAGCATCATTACTCCAGTGTTCTGTGTCACATGATCCTTCATACTCTAATATGATGATTTGCTGCTCAAGAACAGTTGTGTTTCTTAATAATTGTGTGAAAACCACAATACATTTTTACAATTATTTGATGAATAGACTAGCATTTATTTGAAATAGAATTATGTCTTTACATTCGTTTTGATCAATTTAATAATTGCTAAATAAAAGTACTGATTTCTTAAAAAAATGGTATAGTGTATTTTGTTGATCTTCATTATGTCCCTTTGAATCTTTTAAATAAAATGTAATTTTCTCACATAACTGTATTCGTCAAATATTCATCATTGAAGAGATGCAAAGCTGTTTAATTACATCATTACCATTATTGACGACAAACACTTGAGGCTATACATGACATTCAAGTGTCAACACTTTCTATGGAAAAAGTTTACTTTTAACTTAGAAATAAGGTATATTGTTGTCACTTCAGTATAATTCCTCAGTGCTTTTTTCACCCCTGAGCATGCCTGGTATGCGTTAGCAGCATAATTTACTAATAAACTGAATGAATGGACTTTGATACAAGAGTTTAAAGAGTTGCCTCAGCTTCCCGCACAACTGTTACCCCAGAGGGTTTCAGCTCAGTCCAGGGAATGCCAGAAACACGCACAACAGGCCACCTCAGCCTCTCCCGAACAAGCATCGCGGTTACAGAGGTCATGGTGGGTTGTAGAAAACCGTGTACTCCTGACCCACGTGTCCCCGGCCCGCAGCTGTTCAGATGGGAGCGGTCGAGCCTTGAGCGGTGACTTCAGAGAGAGAAACGGCCCTGACCCGGACTCCGCATCCCAGCAGAATCGACCCTGAACATCTCGGACAGAGAGCGAGTGAAGCTCTGACAAACAGCAGGAACCAGATGCAGAGGCTAACTGCTAATGAGACCAGCTGCGGGACGGCAGGGTGTCGGAGTGCGCCACTTTGTTAAGATAAAGCTTTTGGGGTATTGATATCCGCCACCATGGAAGGCAAGAGATCAACTGCAGTCAAAACACTTGCAGGATTAGCGGAGATCAGAGATGATATCTTTCACACGAGGTGATAACATCTAACAACGCTGAGAGGTTATTTTAATGGAGGCAGATTGAACGATTAAACTCCAACTGTCTAAAAAACGTTACTCATAGAGACATGAATAATTAATTTTTTTATGAGGGAAGAGAGATTATAAGTCATTTACATTGAGAATGAATAATTCAATCGTTTTAAATCTGAAAATTGTAAAAAATGAATGACTTCTCAATAACAATCATTTATAAGCTAGGCTTTATCATGAAAGACTAGTCTTATGCAAACTCATTTACCTTCAATTTGTATCAGAAAACCTAACTTGTATGTTGGGCTGCGGTTTCAATTTCCCAAAGCTGCTATTACTCTCGAAATGTGTCTAAAAGGTAAACAAAATAATTCAAATGTTATTGAGAGGCCTCTTCATTTGCATAATCAATCAAGCAGGTTTCTGCAGAGAGAGAAACAACATTAAGGAAACTTTCTGAATTTAATCAGTTCCAGCATTAGCATTAGCTCTGCCCACTGGCAAAGCAATGACTATGTCTACTAGTATAACTACATTCTTAATACAAACTGAACCACAGGCAATTTTGGGGGGCTCATAGAACATAGTAAAGGAGAGACTAAGATCTGTATTACTGACAAAACACTTAAAGCTATTGCTGAAACACATCATTCATGTCTGTAGCAGGACGAGCTGTGCACAGACATCTGATACCCTACGCATGAGCAATAGTAATACTGATGCTTAGCTTAGAAAGTAGTGTCACAACTGTTTAATTATCCATTTCCCAATAAAAGGATCAGAATTCATGTTAAATAAAAACAGAAATGATGTAGATGGTCAGAAAATGTCAAGGTAGGAAAACTTCTTGCATTTATTAAAGTATTAAAGGGATAGTTCACTTTGAAATTAATTTTTGATATGTTTTAGCTTACCTCAAGGGCATCCAAGATGTAGGTGTCTTTGTTTCCACAGTATTTTCAAGTTTGATATTTTTAGGTCAAACCGTTCTTGTCTGTCAGTCATATAATTAAGGCATATGGGGTCTTCCTCAAAGAGCACATTGATGGCCTAAGACACGAAACGAAGGGTTTGTGTGAGAAAACAAACAGTATTTATATTGTTTTTACCTCTTGTAACCACAGCCCCGTCCAAGTACTCTGAAGGCACGGGCGCGAGCGCCGGGTAGCGCCGGAAGTGATCCCTTGCGCGGTTGCGAAACAAAATCAACGTTGTCTGTTGATATATCGAAATGGTCTTCCATTGCAATTTCCTGTATATCTAAATATGTTTAGATCTTCGCAGTGAAAGGTAACACTTCTGAAATCTCTGTGTAAACAATGAATGACGTCGGCTACACGTGCAAGAGATCACTTCCAGCGCATGCGCAGACCGAAGCACCCTCGTCCTCAGAGTACTTGGACGTGACTGTGATTACAAGAGGTAAAAACGATAAAAATACTGTTCGTTTTCTCACACAAACCGCTCGTTTCGTGTCTTAGGCCATCAGTGTGTACTTACATTTACGAGTCATTAAATCACGTTTAATTTGGACTCCTCTGTGCATGCTCTTTGAGGTGGACCCCATAAACCTCCATTATATGACTGACAGACAAGAACGGTTTGACCTAAAAATATCATAATTGAAAATACTGTGGAAACAAAGACACCTACATCTTGGATGCCCTTGAGGTTAGCTAAAACATATCAAAAATTAATTTCAAAGTAAACTATCGCTTTAAGTATAAGTCTTCCAAATATTTAAATGAATTCTTAATGCAAAATTAGTAAAAGTAGCTGTGAAAAGCTATCTTATAATCTATATTAGATGTCCCTGACTGTATCTACCATTAAAAAGTTTAAGGTCAGTAAATTAAAGTAATAATAATAATCATTATTATTTTATTCAGCAAAGATGCAATAAAAAGATTATTCTTTTGAACAGTGCTTCATCAAAGAATTCTAAAATTATTAAGTATAAAAATATAGTAAAAAATATTAAGCGACACAACTGTTTTCAACATTGATAACAATAAGAAATGTTTCTTGAGCAGCAAATCAGTATATTTGAATTTCTGAAGTATCATCTAACACTGAAGATTGGAGTAACAATGCTAAAAAATTAAATACAGTAAACAAAATACATTACATTACAAAGAATTTCACAATATAACTGTTTTCACTTGCCACGGTAAGCATAAGCAAGTTTTAAAAACAGGAAAAAAATCTTACTGACCCCAAACCTTTGAATAGTACTTCTTGATGTACTTCTTTTTTATTTCAAATGGATTCTGTTCAATTTATTGGTAAATAAGTAAATACAATATATGAATGTTTAACTTGGACAAGCTAGTGCATCTTTACATGATTGCCTTACCCGAGAGTAATCGAACCAACAGAAAATCAGATTACCGCTATACCATAAAAGATTTCTCATAACAAGAAGCCACAGAACAGCAACAAGAGCCCTTGGAATCAATAGCGTGGTTTCTAAGGACGGTATTGCTCTAATCTCCGAGGACATTCTACTGTATTTTTCAGAGAAGTCCATGCATGTAAGGAGAACACATGTGATTATTGAACTGATCATGAAACCACCCAGCAGCCTGGCAACAATCACAAACACTAAAGACTCTACCACATGCAGCTCACGGCCGGCAGACATCCAAAAGTGCGCTCGGGTGCGTTTCGTCCCGATCCGTGGCTAATGGTCTGCCTTTGCCGCGGACACTAGGATCTGCGTACCCACAAACACCCCTGAGATGATTACATAAACATGATGTAATGACGATGAGCACCACGCACAACCGGTCGGGTGTGATTCACGGCACACAACTTTCAACATGCATGCAGGGACACCGTTGACAGATTATGACAGCACTGCAAAGATGACATGATAATCAAGTGTTGCTTCATCTAGTTATGGCTGCACAATATCAGTTGTGTTACATGTCGGATGACAGCATTACGATCATTATTTGGCATTAACAGTCATGAGCAGATATGCTTTTGTGTCATGCGAATGTTTTACAATCACATCAAGGCTCCGAATTTGCTTTATTCTTGATTGCGTGCCATCTGCAATAAGCTTACACTCACAATTGACGAGAGAGAGAGAGAGAGAGAGAGAGAGAGAGAGAGAGAGAGAGAGAGAGAGAGAAAAGGAAATCAAAATCAGCCAAGACGACTTCCTCTGGTCGCCCTGCCAAACGGGCTTTTGTCTCATCTCTGAGGAACTGTCAGGTCTATCCCACTTCATTCTGCAGTTACAGTTGCTCCACCATGGATGCGCTTCACCATTACATTTGCAATGACATCTCATTTGATTTAATTTGCCAATTACTGCACTGGGCATCGTGATATTCCCCATCACCACTGGCGAGGGGAATTAGGCTAATAAATCAGGCTGGTCTTTTTTTTTTTTTTTTTTTTTTGTGGAGCGCACGCCTGCCTCTGCTCGTGACAAAGGGAGAGAGTTTGACCTCAGAGGAGTAAGGGTGAGAGAGAACGAGGCTGGGTTGGGTGTTAAGGGCCCCGCTGGAGGGCCTAGTAAGGTGGTGTTGTCAGTAGTATGCAGGCAGCGGTGTGTGTCTTACCTGTCACTGTAGGCAGCGGCGGTAGCAGTAGCAGGCTGAGTGTATCGGTAGGCAGCGTAACCACCCTAAGAAACACAACACACACACACACACACTCGCTCACATGGGCACCTCGACAACAGATGTTTGGACTTTTTATAAAATGTGTTTGTGAGAAATAAAAGAGCAATGGTGGGGGGAGGGGGAGTTGGGTTTGATGTTATGTGCTGTGACAGAGACTGTACGACTGATTCTCATGGAGATGAAGGGGCATGGAGTGCTTTCGGAGAGCAGCACATGACAACGTCGCATTCGTTCACTCGGAGTTCACGATATCGGCGCACGCAATTGGCGGCATGCTCCGAAAGATGGGACGCACATGTCATAATCATAGTTATTAAATATGCATAATCTAATTACAAAGCAGCAGCCTTATGTTGGTGTGAGTCAACTTAGTTTCTTATTCATCTCATGCATGCATCTAAGGATTAATTATGTAGCGCTGTCATACTACGCTACTTCTTTTTGCCAAGGACAGAGAAAGACATTATTTCAACATGTGGAGCGGCAAAAAGGCCAAACAAACACATCCAGTCAAAAGCGCATATGTGTGCTGATTTAAACAGTGTTGTTTCATAGCCAATGACTGTGCGAGATGGAGCTGCACGCTTAAAATACTCCCACACGGTCAGTGCTGTGCTGTGGATTTTTTTAAAGACTATTTTTTAATGATCAATTATTGTATTTTAATTTAGTGTCAACCATTTTTTTTTTGTCTTATCTAAACTCACAGCCCCATTATACCCTTTATAAATAGTAAAGCAGATATCAGCCTCTGTCTGGAGTCTTTAAATAAACGCAGAGTGTCATCAATGGAAATATTGTTATTAATAATCTTTATTTAAATGAATTATCTATATTTTCCATCCATTTAACTTGTCCAAATTATTTCTGTAATTTGTCTTTCATTTTATTTTACACTTGATTTACTTTTCAGAGCTTGATTTTCTTCATTAGTGATTAAACTTCATCAAACCATCAAGCAATAAAGTAAAATAAAGCACTGGAAGTTGAGTTGTGACTGGGACCAATTTTGACACACATCCTCGAACCTGCTTAAGGTGAGGAGGGAAATAATCATAAACAAACCATGATTGGGAATATCTAATTTGATTGGTCAGGCGATGTTGTTTATCTTACTAATAAACTGACAAACATTTAGTCTGACATCCAAGTTATATTCTTTTTTTTTTATTTTTTTTTTTTTACAAAACTGTAGATTAAAAGCAATAATTCACTCACAATTGGGCTGTTTTACTAAATATTCAGAACAGCACTCTTGCTTGTGTGATGTTGTTTAATGCAATGTAATATTTCCTACTATTTGGTGTATTTTTGTACTGTTGATTTTTCTCTAGGAGGCACAGCTTCCTTTACCACTCCTATTAGCAGTCCACAGAAAACACCAACCGATAAGTCCATCTGTACACCTCTGCTCTTTCTCTGTTTCTCCAGGGCTTACTGGTCTCCTGACCCTGCTGTTCTCCACACCAGGCCTTCAGGCTGTAGTAATTACTCTTCCTGCACTCACACATACATAACAGCAGTTGCTTCTCACAACCTTCTTCGTGTTCCTCGCCCTCCCACTTCCACGCAGCTCACCTCCGTCCTCCAACTCCTTCCATTATGACTCACCGGGTAATTCGACACTCCCACTGCGTGGCCGGCCCCTTAACAAACCATTTCATTTACTCGCACAACGCCGAGCCTGACACATGGCCGTGATGCATCTGCGCCGTATTTAAAGCCGGCGTGATGAGCTGCGGAGCGGGACGGCCGAACGGGGCCCCTTAGTCACCAGGGCTGTCATCTCTGACAGACGGGGGCCGCGGGCATCTACATGTCTCTGAAGCTCCATTAGGCTTGGTCAACTAACCTCGGGGAAACTGACAGGGTGTGCAGGTGCGGTGAGAGCAGTGGTCAGGACTTTAATGCTGAGATGCGCATCTGCTGAGCAGCCACAATTTATCATTATGACTCACGAAGAGAGAGAGAGGAACAGATAGGGCTCCACTGACTCCTGACTGCTTGTATCTGTCTGGAGTGCATGTGGACATATCATGGTTATTGAAGCACATGGTGCTTTTCTCATACTTTTACTTGTGTGTGTGTTTGCCTGCCACGGCCGCTTGATGGCCTGAGCCGACAGGTGGGAAATAATGCAGAATAAGGGCTTCAATAAAAAAAGTTCTAGTGCATATTTAACATTATTACACGTCTCTATGGAATACTTGATTCTTATTCCCAGATAACATGTTTAAAGACCTAATAAAATTCAACTCAGATCAATATTTTGTGTCTAATTATTTACTTATGTGGCAAATACCCATGTAATAAGTAGTGTAATGTTCATCCAGCCAGTGGTTCTCTCAAAATACCCCCCTTCATGCTGATCAAGAGCCGTTCACTTCACTTCGGGGTCCTCATCATCCTGTACGGCGTCATTTTGAGAGAACCACCGGCTGGATGTACATTATCCCTTACATATGCAACAGTTAGTTGCAGTCCCAAATCAGACTGGATTGACTATAACAGTTTATCAGCATCTGGGACGTGCTGATATTCACACGATGCATTAATGGTAGTGAGTCTTTCTGCAGTTATATGAACACACCAGTAGGTTTGAGTAGGTTCATTGAATCACTGAATCATTCATTCAAACGATTTGTTCAAAACCGTGAAAGAAACAAAGGACTGTCTTCTTTATGAGTAAGTAATTTAATCATTCACTCAACCGATTTATCCTTCTTATGCGACACACTCTATCGTTTCAATGAGCCGTTTGCGGAGGAACACGATTACAATTAAGTTTATTTTACTCTTCTGTATTTTTTGAGAATTTTGAAGTCTCAGCTTTCAATAAATTATATTATTTTCTCACAAAATAATAAAGTTTTGCTGCTCTTTAATGTGGTGATTGTTGTAGCTGCATCAGTTCAAACAGCAGTTTAAACTCATCAACTCAAATGTCCATAGCTTGTAAGTTAAAGTTTAAAAAATTAAAAAAAAAAAACAAACACATTTTTTCCAATCATTACAGATGTTGCAAATGGATTTGCTAGTTACAGTGTGGCTTTGGGCATTTCTGGATCTTCTAGAAATGAAAACTCAGCCACATGAGGCAAATGTGAAGCACTTTATATTGCAGATTAAATCGAGAGATATTACACACGCTGTGTCATTTATATTTGGTAGATCTTCCTGCCTTATTGCACCCCTGCATGTGGTATGTGTTCAGTATTTCTTTAACTTTTTTAGCCCATCTTAAGGATGTCTGTTCTATGCTATTGTGGCTTCATTTTTCAGACCTTATCCAACATTCAGTACATTTAGCAGAGCACTCTGCAAATTAAGATTGGTAATAAACAAATACAGTTCCTGGATAGTTTCTAATGAATATTAGATGATCTTATCGCAGCGGAACAATCAATCCCAGCCATTGTGGCACTGCGCTAATGACAAGGGAACAGAGGAAGCGTTACAGCAGCCTTCCCGTCATTTCCACGCACATTTGTACCCTGTACAATTTGTTTTGTCCCAGAGGAGGCCGAATTGGGGGAGATACATCAGGCTGTGTCAGGCTCAATGAGACATGGCCTTGAGGAGAACAAGCTTTCGGTCCCTGCTAGTTACCCCACCTCGGCTCCAGATGCTTCTGCTAATCTCAAAACGTGACACTCCAGATGAACGCAAACATGCCCGGAGATTGCCAACGAACGCGGTGAAGATTTGAAAGTTCCCCATTCATTAAAAACCTACAACTTTACATGAAACCCCTTCAATGCTCATTTTTTTTCTCATTAAAATGAAATTTGAAAAAGTCTTGAATTAACATTAAGAGATCAATCTTTTGGAATAATTTTAGATTATAACACTGATTAATACTCAGTAACCAAAAATAGTGTATTACTTTCTGCTCCAATTTTCCCTATATAAATACATTTCCCCTAACAATAATGATGAATCTGTGTAGGTCTACTGTAGGTACAGGTAGATGGTTTGCACATTGTACAATCCCAGGATGCCATGCTCTAATGTTCAATCTTAGGTTACTCTGAGTTTCATTCTATCTAGAAATAAACTCATTTGTTACTCACGTGTGAAAGTCTCTTGACACAATTAATGAAGGATGAATTAAAATGCTAACAATAAAAACAACAATGTATCAGCTGGTCGGTTTACAGTTGGGGGGATGAATGGGGCGGGGGTGTGGGCATGTACATGAACATTCAAGGACGACATGCGAATACTTACATAAATATCTGCACCATAAAATCCGTCCTGGTAAACAACACTGGAAAGATGCAAACACACCCGCACACACAGACAAACACCAAACAAAACACATCAATATTAGTGCATGTTCCCATGCAAGCAATACCAACCCCACCTCTAGCCAGGGTTAGTGGAACAGAATAAGAAATACACACGCACTGAATACTTTCCAAAGGCACTAATAACATCATTTTAGAAGGAGAGCGTGGAGTAAAGACTTTGTAGAGGGGTCACAGAGAGCTGAAAAGTACGTAGCCTACATAATTTTTTTAGTCTTAAGCTAAATTACAAAAATATATATTTTTAAATATATGTAAAGAATTTTGTGTAAAATCTGAGAAAAAAAATATAATTATATGTTATCCTGGGGTGCGTTTCCCGTACAACGACGTAGTTCGCTGATTCACTACCATAGTATGATGCATCGTTGGAAAAATCAACTAGCTAGTTACGACTGTTTCCCGAAACCCACTGTCGCAAAGTATCGTTCAACCACGTTGGTTTCACACGTGGTGGAGTATAACTACTTTTAATGAAACTGTTTGAGATCCAATTAACGCTAGATTTGTTACAGACATGTCATTTGAGGACTATTTCTAATTGTTCTCAGTTGTTTTGCTTTATTACCAGACTCAATATTTGGCTCGTTCTTACATAGTATGCACGTTCGCACATGCGCACTCTTCAAACACGTTACTTCAAATCTTTTGACAAACTAAAAGACGTAAATTCCATTTGTATGTATTCTAAATAAAAGACACCGGTTGTACTGAATGTCAGCTTGCTTATTTTGCTCAAGATAAGGATTTATTACCTCCAAATGTCATGCAATATAGAAACGATGCCTCTAACCATTGGTCGAGAGCTGTCGTTCAAACCACACAACTTTGCGATGCTGTTTGCGAATGTTCGTTGGAACGATGGTTTCGGGAAACAGCGACTCGTTGAACTATGCTGATAACGACGGAACTTGCGACCATAGTTGGCTAACGATGCTTTCGGGAAACGCACCCCTGGTTAGGAGTTGCTCTAAGTATTACACTTCTGAAATTGATTCAAAACCAAACAAAATCCATTCACACTTTTGTTTTGTAGATAATTTCAAGCGTGCTATTAATTTATTTATAATTTTCCCCCATTTTTAAAATCGGAAGATCTTGAAAATCTCTTATTGACAGTCACTGGCATTCAACATTTTACTTAAGGTGACAATGATGTCATTGTAATATACAGTACTCCTTCCTAAATCCTTCTGCATTCAGTTGTTTGAGAGGATTTACATAATGTTACATTACATAAAAGAAACGCTTAAGGCCATCGACCATGACAGAACGGCATGACAGTTCAGTGTCATCATTACTTGCAGGATGCACGGGCTACATGCTGCACTGGTTCTGTGTGGTGAGGTCGAGATGCATGCATGTTACAGCAGCCCGGTGACGAGGGGGAGCGCTTGTCAGAAGGTGAACTTGTGTGTGTATGTGAGAAGGGAGTGTTGCTACTTACCCTCCATAGGCTGGGATGTGTGGGGGAGGAGCGGCTGCCCGGAACGTATTGTAGACGGTGCGCCCTCTTCCTCTTAAGTGTGCCCCTCTGTACGCCGCCGCTGCCGCCGTGGCTGCTGGGTAAGGGAAGCCTGGCACTGTGCGGAAAACATACAGTATATACATGAGGAACAATTAAATACTAAAAAAAATAATATAATAGTACACAACATACAATACTAAAATAACACAGGGGACCATCATTAAATAAATGTAAAAAACAGGCTTTTCATGCGGTTTTCAAAGAAAAGAGTTTGATGTACTGTGACATCACCATCATTAACTCCCATTCAGTTTTCAGCAACTTGATGAACCACCCTGATGAACGGCAGTGTGAACTATGCTGGTATGCAAAGATTAACGGTAACACTTTACAATAAGGTTCATTAGTTAACTACATTAGTCAACATTAACAAAGAATGAACAATACTTCTTCAGCATTTGTTAATCTTTGTTAATGTTAATTTCAACATTTACTAATACTTTTTAAAAATCTTGCTAGCATTAATTAATGCACTCTGAATTAACATGAACAACAATGAACAGCTAGATTTGTATTGACTAACGTTAACAAAGAATAACAAATACAGTTACAAATGGTTAGTTCATGTTAGTTAATATATTAACTAATGTTTAATAAATGAACCTTATTGTAAAGTGTTACCAGATTAACCAATCATAAAGAGTTCATTTACATATAAATGCTTTAAAGGTGCAGTAGCAAAAAAGTCTGAGAGGAGAATAGTCATGTAAAACTAACTTTTTAACACAAAACCTTGGACAGTCGGCCGATCATTATTGCAAAATAAACCCATGTCAGACTGATTACATAGCTAGTTGCTCAAATAAGTAACTAAATGGACATAGTATTGAAGTACTGAAATTATTTTAATATGTAAGATATAATGAATATTTTTCTTTTGCAAGTAACTTTCCCGTATGGAATTAAGTAATCTACTAAACTAAGTTACGTAAATTGAACAAAGTAAATAAGTTTAAATAATAATAATAAAAAAAAGATTTTAGAAATATAGAGGTTTGTTGAATAATTTAAACTTTCCGTGTACGTTTCAATGGTCTGTTTCAAGTAGATTTTAATCGGGCAATATAACACTGAATCAAGCCATGCTTTTAAAGTGTATGCCTGGAACACAATACACAATAATGGTAACATTCGTTGGATAATTTTTGAGTATGAAAAATTGAGCATTGAGCACCTAACAACAAAAGCGATTTTAAAACTGTGTAAATACAGCTGGAAAACAATGGAAAATTCAGTATTATTATTCATACATGCACAAGGGGAACACCAGTATCAGAAAGTTGATTTTATTTATAAAAGTCGCTTTTATTTATACAAGCTTAAATTGAATAATAATATAAAATTTATATACAGAATTTGTTTTTAAACTCTTGCCTGCAAGAGTACTTCCTTCATCACAGCATGATTTTTATCAGGGTGCTATGATAAAAGAGATTAAACAAGAGCAGTGTTGCTAGGGACGGTCAAAACTATACAGTTATATAATGTAATATTTGACTGCAGAATGCCCCGATTGACCAATCAGATTCAAGTATTCCAGAGAGCCGTGTAATAAACTGCCAAATGAACTATAATTTCACAAGTCGAAACTAATATAAGCTATGAGGAATGGTGCCCTACCTCCATTTACACCTGCAATTAGCCAAAAACTCTAACAATGAGTACTAAGCAAACTACAGGAGACATATAGACCTCTGAGGCTGGGTGAAAACAGAAAGCTCTGTATTGTTGTTAAATGATCATTAAGTTTAATAGGGCGTCGGTGGTGAAAATGACTTTTAAGAGGCTTAATTTGAAATGGATGAGAGGAAGAAAGACAGAGGGGGTTTGTGAAAGCTGCTTCGTTCTTTAACATTACAGGTTTTCAAAAGGAGATCATATAAATGTCTAATAGGAGCACTGAATCTTTCATTTACACGATTAAAAATTCAGATTTAAGGAAGGGGATTGTGTGATGTAGAAAGGTGAAAAGGATTGTTCCATTTGACTCTTTGTCACCTTGGATATGTCTCGCTTTCACGCAGTGCACCACAGCTGTCTTAGTATTAAAGAGAGAAATACATTTTACAGTCCAATTTATTATTTTTCTTCCTACCACTGAAGTGTGGTATATTTCTAATGTCAACATGATTCTGATATGAATAAATGCTACCCTTTTTTAATGATCAGAAGCATGCACGTATTCCATATATACATATATTACATTTCCATGTTATTCATCTCTTTAAATGTTTGTGGTTTATTAGGAGGCTAAACAGCAAAAATCAGATGATGCAAACAACTCGATTTTGAAAAACGCCTATGAAATATGAAACATTAACGCAGCATTTTTTTTTAAACGGCAATGAAGATTCATAAGTCACATGTATTCCTCCCTCCTTCCATTGGAGGCAGCCCATCTGACAGCCATTTTTGAAATATGCTGCATACACGTTTGCATATTTGCAAGAGCTTCACTTTGATGTGTAGAATGTGTCCTGAGGAAAATAAATATGAGATGTATTTAGCCTGAATATTTACAGGATAAACAACTTAAGACTATGCACTTTCATTTAGAACGATGAAGGGTGGAGGGCTAGATGAAAACGGAGAGAGAGGGAGCTACAGTAAGTGGCGCTGAATGAGAAATGGGAGCGTGAGCAGCAGCAGTGAGCTCCAGGGGGATGCAGGAGAGCTAGTCCGTTTTATTGCTTTGAGAGCGATTACAGTCAAGCAGATGCTCTGGCCGACGGGAGGTAGCCTCCGCATCAAAGCCATAAAAGTGTACAACTGCTTTGTAGAGCAATAATTTCTCTCATTGGCTTTTGTGTGGGAAGTGTTTTGGGGAGGGGCGGTTGACGGGTGGGCTGCAACATTGCAGGAGGTTCAGGGTGCCCTGTGCATCTCACGCTGCAACCTTACACAGTGCAGCAAACCGCAGAGATTCTTTTATGAATGTAATATAAACCAGACCACTTTGAGATTTGAGAAATCTCACAGCTTTCAGATAATATAAAATGCAATGCTTTATGTGTATTGTGTATATATTATTTTGCAGCTTGAGGTAATATATTGTGATTTACCAAAGCATTCTCATCATAGGGCGTCATATAGTGACGCTTTTGAAATTTCGTCTAAATCCAACGCTCATGGCACCCTTTAGCGTCAATAGAACACACACAGAGCTTTATTCGCTTATGGTAGGTTCAGTTCTGGGGTAGGGTTAGGGTTAGACCACTAGAAGGCGCCTTCTGGCCCATATATATCTGCATCTCATATTGACGCTAAAGGGTGCCATGTGCGTTGGATGTAGACGAAATGTCAAAAGCGTCAGTATGTGACGCCTTGGGATGAGACCAGGCTAGATTTACTCATGTTTGTTAAAAGCTATAAGAACAAGACTATCTAGCTATATTTATTTCTTTTTAAAGAAAATTTAAATGTATGTGCAAAAGCACACATTATGAAAATAAACCATATATATATATATATATAAATATATTAAAAATGTAATGCAAAATAATAATAATGAAAATAATCAAATGAAAAGAAACATACAAATCTAAATCAAACAAACTGATGTAATTTTGTCATTATTATCAAATAATGTCAAAAGACATTATGAAAAATATTAATAGAAATTATTTAAAATAAAGTCGGAAATTATTAGAAATAAACTAATAAATGATTCTGAAAATGATAGTATTTAAAATAAATAAATACATAATGATAATTATAAATTAATTAAATAATTGAAAAATTAAGTTGAGGGGTGGTTGATAGTTAGTCAGCTAGTGAATTGTTGGATAGCTAGTTGACCACTGTGACCCATCCCTATTTACTTGCAGTTATTTTGCTTTAAAATAATAATAATAATATAATATATATTATATAATAATAATATAATAATAAATATATATTGTAAAGAACAGTGTATGTGAATAGTGGCTGTTTACATAATATATATATATATATATAAATATATATATATATTTTTTTTCTTATGTAAACAGCCACTATTCACATACATTGTTCTTTACAAACCCTCCCCAAATCTAAGCTTCTAAGCTTCAGAATCCAAATGTATGTTATCTCACTGTGAGCAGTCTTTTGAGACACTTTTCAAGTCTTAATGAATGTACATTTTTTACACCTCTGTACACAAGTCAGGGTCATTTCATATTGTTTCTTCCCACAATGCAATCTCAAACGTTCAGTGTACGACACAGAAGCAGCCACCAAAGTACTTTCATCTCTCTTTAAAAACGTCCTTCCTCTAAAAGCCGCTTGTTGTCTTCCACGATAGCCTATCTGCACAAATTCATTCCATTTTGCTGCTGCCTTTATGAAAATTCTCGAATTCTTCTCCCGTACTTTGTTAATTGCCCGTCATTTTTCGAACTTATCATTCAGTATTTGCGAGTTCAAAAAAGCCCAGCAATGTTGAAAGTGCCAGAGGCGGTCGCCGTCTCTCGTTCAGTCAGGACTCAATCAAAGAGAGAGCAAGGACAGTGATGTCATACTAAAACACTGAAACATTAGTGCTGCGAAACTGTCAGTCAATACAAATGGCCCTCTATATCATTACGACCGACCATATTCATTCATTTCAGTTCATATGGTCGAAACTCCCTCAGCCTGTCTGTTTCGTCTGAAAATTCAATAATCCGAATGTTGGGCACAGAGAAGTCGCCCTTCCTTTCCTCTCACTTAAGGAAATGAGTTTAACAATTTGTGATTAATTATTTCTTTGTCAATAAACATTAATGATGACAAATTGAGGTCAATATATGAATGTGCATGTGTGTGTGCCGTCAGAGAAACGTGATAGTCTGAGTGGTGTTTAGTCTTATGAATGTGATTCTTCAACTTATGTCTAAGGGGTTGATGTTAAATCAAACAGACTTTGACTTTTTCTTTGGTCATAAGATGAAAATCTATCATAAAATATAAATGATATCTTTAAAGCTATAAAAATCAACATCAAAGATCAAAATAATAATAAAAAAAAAATAGATGTATTGTGTGAAAACATCAAATGTCTGACATTTCCACAAAACCAATTCTGACACTAAT